GGGCTTCTAGTGTCCTGGCCCAACTGCTGGACCTCCTAATGGCACCTATTATTTTTTGGCCACTGTGTGACAGAGTGTTGGACTAGATGCGCCATTGGCCTGATCCAACATTGGCTCCTCTTATGTTCTCTTATGTTCTTATATAGCCCCCCACGGCCTCCCTCCGCCTCCGCATCATGGCATGGCGAGGTGGGCCACGGAGCGCCAGCCTGCCCCCAGCTCGCCCTGCCAGAGGGGACAACATGGCCAGGTCAGCCTCCTCCCAGCCTCCCTCTCCTCCTGGACTGCAAATGCCGATGGAGGTTAAGTCTCGGCCATGCTTCTGCTCCTACCTGCCAGGTCACTCCCAGAAGATGGTCCTCTGTGCAGGAGGATTAATGAATTGGATCCAAACAGGTTTTCTACTCAATCTCACCCACCTGTCTTCCACATAGTACCCCTGTCTCCATGCAGTTCTTCTCACGCGGGTTCCATGACCCGCAGCACAGCCTTTTTAGTCTTCAAAAGGAGAGCCTCCTTTGTCTTTTGCCCCTAGAAAAACTCAAAGGATCCAGCCCTATGTTGCTGGGGGTCTAGTGCTCTATGCCACAGCAAAAAAGTTCCTCACAGCTCTATTCTCTCATTCACATTATTGACAAAGTTTGAGTCCAGTGGGGGCACCTTTAAAACCAACAAAGTTTTATTCAAGGGGTGAGCTTCCGTGTGCACGCACACTTTTTCAGACGATGAAATGGAATTACATATCACAGTTGTATATATATGTGTATATATATGAGTAGTTTGTTGGTTTTAAAGGTGCCACTGGACTCTCTTTTTGTAGCAGGAACTCCTTTGCATATTAGGCCACACACCCCTAATGTAGCCAATCCTCCAAGAGCTTACTGAGCTCTTCTTACAGGAGCTAATGTAAGCTCTTGGAGGATTGGCTACATTAGAGGTGTGTCGCTTAATATGCAAAGGAGTACCTGCTACAAAAAGAGCCCTCTAACGAAGTGTGCGTGCACACAAAAGCTCACACCTTGAATAAAACTTCGTTGGTCTTAAAGGTGCCACTGGACTCCGCTGGGTGATAGTGAGATATTGAAAAACTGGTATTTAGCAGAGATAAAATGGTCCAGCAGAGCCAGAGTAAAATAATTCAGACGGAGAGTCCATGTGTGATTAAAATATAAAGTTTTTACTAAATTCTAGAATGGGGAAGGGTAACTGGGATGAAAATAACAACAGAGCATAATCGGCTACATCTTTACAAAGACAAACTAGAAGAGAGAGATCATGGCTATTCTTCTTGTTCTTCAGAACACCAAACAAAGACGGGAAGAGAGCCATAAAATGCTAATACACCTTGACACTTAAGTCCCAATCAAATTCCTAGATCAGGGAAAAAATTCCCAGGCATTCTACAGCTAAAGAACATTGGTTACATGAGAAACATGTGACTTCCTGTGAGTAACTTAAACAAACATTTAACCCCAGATAGACTGAGTGTTTTCAACTTGTAATACCCAACAGACTCTAACAAAGTGTGCGTGCCCACGAAAGCCACACCTTGAATAAAACTTTGTTGGTCTTAAAGGTGCCCCCACTGGACTCAGACTTTGTTCTACTCCTTCAGACCAACACGGCTACCCACCTTGACCAATTATTGACAAAACAGCATCAGCTGAAACACATCCTACTTTCCCAAGACTCTGGTGATTATTTCTTGTTTTGCTTTTTTTTTTTTAAATTGCCCAATGGTCATTCAAGACAGCTTGCGGTACATCGGAAACAAGAAGCAAATGCACACCAAACAGTCTTCTGAACTTGAGGTTTTTAAACACCGCTCAACAAGCCTTTATTGGAGCTCAGAAGAATAACTTCTTGATGGGACATGGGGGGGTCTACGATACGCAGAATTCCCTTAAGCGCACTTCCTTGGATCTTGGCTATTGGAAGTTTAATTGCTCGACTATGCTCTTAGCATGTGCATCTTTCTTGGCGCTATCTAAAAAAGTGCAGAGCCATCCACTTTGTCGTCCTCACAAAATCCCACGTTCCTTCCTGACCATGATCAAAAAGGTCATCACTGGGGGGGGGGGGGGAACTACCAGGAAAAGGATTTACAAAGCCACAGGCAAAGCCTGCAGTTTGCTTCTGCTCCTTAAAAACATCTACGCACTAAACAGCGGCAGACTTCGCCTGAGGAATATTTTGTGGGTCGCCCTGAGGGGCCCTCAAGTTCCATCAAGCCTGGAGTCTTTTAGGAAAGACAATTGTTGGAAGTGACTGAGGGAGGGGGAAGAGAGAGGGGGAGTGTAAGCGAAATGGGTCTAACACCCAAAGTACAGCTGCCACACAACAATTTGATTCATTTTCTCATCAAGCAACCCAAGTAGAATCTTAACCAGTGAGAACAGGAGACAGGTATCCCTGGTAACATTTTCCCGAAACCATCCCTACCCGAAGATTCGATTCCTTTAACACAGTTTCTGAACTCAGGCCACAAAAGTTATTTCGCTTCAGACTCCTGTGAGCATGATGGATAGTAACCCGAGCTTAATGCTCCCTTCAGTCCCCGGCTAGCACTCACAAGATGTTATCATCCTACAACTTACCCCACCGGAATCCTGTAAAGTGGGTTCAGGTGGAGGGAAAGGGGGCCAAAAACGGTGGGTGGAATGAGAAAGACGACAGTGTGGGAAATATTTCTACAGAAGCATCTGAATTATGTTTGACGGAAGCTGAAATTATTTTCCGGCAGATCGCAAGTTTAGACAACTGGAGTAAAAGAGAACAGGTGGAAAAATCTGATGAAACATCAAGTATATTTGAGGAGTGTGATTGATGGCAATTTTATTGCAATTTCTACTTCAATGGTTTTGTGTGATTGTGGCACCCAACTTAATACAGTAAAACCAGCTTTGCTTAGTAAGAGACCCTCGAGCTCAACGGCAAGCGCCAAAATTGATGATCTCTGCGCCAGCGCCACATTTTTGTTGTCAAAACAAACTTCCATGCATTAATTTTCGAGTGATGAAAGCTGCCTGTCACAGTCTTGCCGCACAAATAATGCGCTTCTTCAAGCTCCAGCCAGAAAGATATTCACAACAAAATTCATTATCAAAGCGATACGTGCTGCAGACGAAAATAAGCTCCATGGAAATCGTCAGATTCCAGATGAAACACAACTCGGCTTCCAAAGAGGTATTAAGCCCTCATTTGACAAGGTTCCCCAACAAAAGAATCTTAACAACCGTTGGGTGATACTTGGAAGCAAGAAAAATACGGGGCTTGCCAAGTTAAAGGTCTGTTCGAATTTGCCATTCTGAACACCTCCAAGGACTTTTAAAGATTACAAGCTCAAAATGGAGCACAGGCAAGAAGATTACACAAAGTATTACGGCGGGATTCCCCAACGCGGCACCTGTTGGCACCATGAGAGCCAGTGTGGTGTAGTGGTTAGGAGTGTGGACCCTAATCTGGGAGCACCAGGTTTGCTTCCCCACTCCTCTTCCACGTGCAGCTGCTGGTGTGACCTTAGGTCAGTCACAAGTTCTTTCAGAGCTGTTCTCTCAAGGGCAGGTCTCGGAAGAGCTCTCTCAGCCCCACCTACCTCACAGGGTGTCTGTTGTGGGGAGGGGGAGGAGAAGGAGATTGTAAGGCGTTCTGAGACTCCTTTGGATAGTGAAGGGTGGGGTAGAAATCCAGTCACCTCTTCTCTCTTCATGGCACCCACCAGGACTTGCTGAGCTTCTCAGAAAGTGGGCAGGGCCACTGCACGGCCACCCCCATTCGAAGGAAAGGGGGTTCCACGGAAATAGCACCCTCAGCCACTGGAGGAACAGGAGGATTGCTAAACACCCGTGCTTCTCTTAGCCACTGTAGGTGGGGCTGAAAGAGCTCTATCAAGAACCGCTTTGTGAGAGGACAGCTCCGAAAGAACTTATGACCAGTGTTCCCTCTAAGCTGAGTTAGTGTGAGCTAGCTCACAGTTTTTTAGCCTCCGGCTCACACGTTTTTGTCACAGCTCAGGAAGGATGGCTCCAGAACACACTCATTTATGCAGTAGCCAAATCACCTGCTCACAACTTTAATGCCAGTAGCTCACAAAGTAGAATTTTTGCTCATAGGACTCTACAGCTTAGAGGGAACATTGCTTATGACTGACCCAAGGTCACACCAGCAGCTGCACGTGGAGAAGTGGGGAATCAAACCTGTTCTCCCAGATTAGCGTCTGCACTCCTGACCACTACACCGAACCGGCTCCTAACCACTGCACCAAACCTTTACCCACAAACAGCTGATAGGAAGCAAACAGGAAGATTCCAGATTAGCTGGCCAAAGAGGTGGCGGCCACCCAGTCAGAGCCAGGGGGGGCTTTTTTGGCGGGGGCGGGTGCAGTTTGTTGCCCCTCGTCAGGGTGCCCAGAGAAGAGGCTGACCGGCGGGCGCTCACAAGCCGTCGCTCCCCTGGCCCTGCTGCTGCTGCAGCTGCCAGTCCCCGGCTGCGAGGAGGAGGAGGAGGAGAAGCGCTCGCACTCCACTGGGAAGCCGAGGGGGCAGGCAGGGAGACGTTAGCTGGCCAAAGAGGCAGTGGGCAGCAGTGGCGGGGATCACCCAGCCGCGGAAATGCAATGGCGGGGGGGCTTTTGATGGGGGCAGTTTGGTGCCCCTAAGGGCTGGCACGCTCTAGGCAAATGCTTAGTTCGCCTAGTGAGTGAGCCGGCCCTGATCGTAAGCCACTCTGAGACTCCTTCGGGTAGCGTGTCAGAATTCCAAAGGTGCCTGCAGGATCAAAACAGCTGAAGACCCCACCATTTTGCTGAGCAAAGTCTGAACCCTTCCCCTGGCAGAAGGACCCATCCCCCAACCCATGTGGCTCTTTGCCGAGAGGCAGCCTTCAAGGAAGAGAGCGGAGCAGAGGAAAACATCACACTTTGCTGAGGGAAGAGGTGGGAAACATGCAAAATATGTATTTCATATAGGCATGTGAACAGAAAAAAGGGGGGAGGAGCTTACCTGTTTCCTTTTTTCAGGAGGCAGAGATGGGTCCCCATCCTGCAGGAAGGAATAAATTCACACGTCATTGGAAAAATAATGGGATTTCCTGTCGTCGCTCATTTAAAATCTTGATATCTCACCCTCTCCCCAATGAGGCTTACAATCCAGTTAAGCAGCAAAACACCATCGGCAAAACCAGTCGTCAGCAAAAGATCTCAGCCCACATCGCGCATTCACCACAGCGCACGCGGATCCAAAGAGAAACTCAAGGCACTCAGCTGAGTGTGGGAAGGAGGCCATCACGATACGGGAGGGAACACTCAGTGCTGTCTATGTACCGGCCACGTGTTTTCCCACCCTTCCTCACGAGGAGCTCAAAGTACAGGACACGGCCCCCTCCTCCCTCCGTTTTTCCTTCACATCATGTAGGCTAGGCAGAGAGAGAGGGGGACTGGCTCAAGGTCATCTGGCCAGGGTCATGACAAAGAGGGATGTTGACTTCAGTTCTTCCCTGCCATCATAATCCAACACGATTAGACCAGGGAAAGGGACATGCAGACCAGATGAATGGGTGTTTCAGAGATGGGGCAGGGGGCAAAAGAGAAGAAGAACAAGAGACGGGATTTATACCCCGCCCTTCACTACCCAAAGGAGTCTCAGAGCAGCTTACAAACTCCTTTCCCTTCCCCTCCCCACAACAGGCACCCTGCAAGCAATGCTCCCTCTAAGCTGTGGAGTCTTGTGAGCAAAAATTCTACTTTGTGAGCTACTGGCATTCAAGTTGTGAGCAAGCGATTCGGCTACTGCATAAAGTACTTTGCTCTGGAGTCCTTCTTCCTGAGCTAAGACAAAAATGTGTGAGCTGGAGGCTAAAAAACCGTGAGCTAGCTCACACTAACTCAGCTTAGAGGGAACACTGGGTAGGTGGGGCTGAGAGAGCTCTTGACAGAAACTGCTCTTTTTCAGGAACAGCTCTGAGAGAACTGTGGCTTGCCCAAGGTCATCCAGCCAGGTGCAAGTGGAGGCGTGGGGAATCAAACCTGGTTCTCCCAGATTAGAGTCAGCGCACTTAACCACTACACCAAAGGGTCTTCTGCTCTTTTGCCATGGACCCTCCCATTTTTCTCAGAGGAGAGAAACGAGGGAGAATCTTTTATGCCAGTCTCAGTGTCCTGACAGGATAATACAGGGGGTGAAGAGCTCCTTTAAGTACCCTCACCCCAGATCAGGCCGCTTAGGTCAAAACCAGCACTCTGGCGGCCAGTCTGTTTCCAGGCACAAGTCAATAATGATCTTTTGAAATTGGGGTGATATACTGGTGGTACGTGACCACATCCCATCCGGAGGCAGCCCATGTTCTGAAGTTGTGGAAATGTCCCAAATGATTTCAAAGAAACTGCCCCACAGAAAACATTGCAGTAATCTAATATGGGGGTTCTTATTAGCACAGATTGCTATGGCTGGAACCTTCTTTATAAACAAACCTGCTTGCATTAAGAATTGCATTTAGTCAAGCGATATAGTATTGCAGTCATGGTACTGAGCTTGTTAAGGCTGGATTAGTCATCCTTAATTGAAATGGACAATAATAGTATTAGGAACACAGAACCATAGTTCCCTCTAAACTGCGCTGGGGGTGCTGGCGCACAAAATTTTAACAGGCAGCACAGGGATTACTGCTTCTGTCCACAAGGCATTTTCCCTTCCATTGGAAACAACAGAGGATGGGTGCACCTCCGTCTGGGGCCCACAGAATTGGACCCCATTGTCCAATCTTTTTGAAACTGGCAGGGGGGGAGGGTTGAGGAGAGGCACCAGCAGCTATGCTGAAAATCTGGTACCTCTACCTCAAAAGACAGGGCCTCCAGAGCCCCAGATACACCCAGCTTGATTCTCCATTATAGCCTATGGGGCCTATTGTCTATAATGGTCCCCATAGGCTACAATGGAACTGGAAAAAAAATTTTTTACACATCTCTATTATGCTTTTCACTATTATTTGTAAGCTGCCTTGAGTCACAGAGAAAAAGTGGGATATAACTATTTGAATAAATAAGTAGTTGGGGCAGGTTGATAACACTTAAGCAACTTCCTGTTTGTTAGGTTAGGCAGGGTTCTGACAATGATTGTTCCTCCTCTATTATACTTGACCTGTAATGCTGGTTGTCATATTTCACTTTAAAAAGAGTTTTTTTTCTCCCCTAAGTGCTACTATGCTTTCTGAGGCTCAGTATAAGGCAATGGTCCAAGGCCAGGTCTACCAATATCGTGGACTGGAGCAGGTAGACCTGTTCTCCAGGGACCAGGTCTACCAATATAGTGGAAAGGGTTGGGTAGACCTGTTCTCCAGAGACCAGGTTACCAATATAGTGGAAAGAGGTGGGTAGACCTGTTCTCCAGAGACCAGGTCTACCATTATAGTGGAAAGGGGTGGGTAGATCTGTTCTCCAGAGACCAGGTCTATCAATATAGTGGAAAGGGGTGGGTGAAATTTGACTTGATTCTGTTTTTTCTTATAATGTTTACATTATTCTTAAAAACAAATTTTAAATATAATTTGAAAGAATCTATTCTGAGTTTTTTTACAAGGTTATGGAAGTAATCTAAAAAACTAATTTATGCAAAAGTCAAATGCAGACTCACAATTTTAATGCTACTAGCTTTTTTCACTCACGAGGTAGAATTTCTGCTCACAACACTGTGGAGCTTAGAGGGAACATTGCCCAGAACCATGAGGAACCATTTCACAGTGTTCCCTGGGTTTTATGCTGGCAAATATTAATGAAGCATTTTCAACTTGGCTACATACAATCAGTTCCCGGTACTTCTTTTTCAGGGATTGGTGTTTCTCTCGGAGTTGATTCGCCATCAGCTTGTATTGGTCTCTTTCCTGTTGACATGTGTCCAGTTCCTTGGAAAGGATTAGCAATGCTTCCTTCTTACTTTCTAGCTTCCTTTTACATATCAGGTACTGCAAAAGAAAAGGCAGAACTGATGTACAGGTCACTTGAAGCACAAAAACAAACAAAAAGGTTTTTGTTTTTTTTAAAGCTGAAGGGTAGGGATGGGAGGAAAGACACATTTAATTTATATTTATTTATTTATGTATTTATTTCTCGAATTTCTATCCTGCCCTCCCAGCCAAACCTGGCTTAAAAAGAACTGTGAACTGAGACAGCTTCTGGAATAATGTTGTTATGACACTTAAAAGCAGTAGGGATGCTAGACCAAACAATGTTCAATACAGCTCACAGGGATAGACGAGTTCTCTTTCACAATTAAAAAACAAATAACATGTGAGGGAGACAGGGACACAGAATCATAAGAGCTGGAAGGAGCCATACAGACGTTCTTGTCCAACCCCCGCTCAATACGGGCTCAGCCTAAAGCATCCCTGACAAATATCTGTCCACCTGCTGTCTGAAGACTGCCAGTAAGGGGGAGCTCACCACCTCCCTAGGCAGCCGTTGCCACCACGGAACTAATCTTTCTGTACATTATTTTTCCCTAATATCCAGCTGGCACTCAATTTACCAGCAAATTTGGAAAACGCAACAGTGGCCACAGGACTGGAAAAGGTCAGTACACATTCCAATCCCAAAGAACGGCAATGCCAAGGAATGTTCAAACTATCGCACAATTGCACACATATCACATGCTAGCAAGGTCATGCTCAAGATCCTACAAGCTAGGCTTCAACAGTACGTGGATAGAGAACTGCCAGAAGTACAAGCTGGGTTTCGAAGAGGTCGAGGAACTAAAGATCAAATTGCCAACATTCACTGGATTATGGAGAAAGCAAGAGAGTACCAGAAAAACATCTACTTCTGCTTCATTGACTATGCTAAAGCCTTTGACTGTGTGGATCACAACAAACTATGGCAGGTCCTTAAAGTGATGGGAGTACCAGACCACCTCACATGTCTCTTGAGAAACCTGTATAAGGGTCAAGAAGCAACAGTTAGAACTGGATATGGAACAACTGATTGGTTTAGCATAGGAAAAGGAGTACGGCAAGGATGTATATTGTCACCTTACTTATCTCTCCTTATATATAATTGAATAGTGGGTGCCAAAGTTCTAATTCTAAAATGCACTCCCTTAGTGTATGGCTGATGGCACTGCTCCTCAGCATATATCGCCACCAATCAGAAGGCAAAGCCCGGGTCCCGCCCACACCACAACTGCTGCGACAACCTGGTCTTTTGCATATGGAAGCTGATTGGACTTCACTCCATTCCACACCTCAAACCCCCCCCCCCCCTCCGCAAGGCAGTTGGAATGTCAGTTGCATATGGAATCTGCTGTATTCTGGTGGTGTGCAGGTCCCAGATTCATGTTTTAAAAGCAGACTGACACTGTTTGCCCAAAGCCACAGCACTCTCCCAGAGCCTCTTTCTAGATCCCATTGTATTTATTTCTGCAACAGGCATTATTTCTAGTTTGGAATATAATTTCCAAGCATGTAGAGTCCCAATTCAGGATTCCAGATCCTGCGGACCT